TTGAGACAGGGTTTCTGTGTAGTTTTGGAGCCTGTCCTGGAACTAGCTCTTATAGACCAAGCTGGTCTCGAACTCACAGAGATATGCCTGCCTCTGCCTCCCAGGTGCTGGGATTAAAGGCGTGTGCCACCACCACCCAGCTGAAAGATGTGTTTATGAAGACTCTAATGCTGGGCCTAGGGAAGATAACCCAGTTGGAAAAGCACTTGCTGTCTGAGCATGATGACCGGGCTCGGATCCCGGTGTCCATGTAAAAAGTCAGGCCTGTGATCCTGGTGCCGGGGAGGCAGAGGCCAAAGGATCCCAGGCCCAATTGCCCCTTGCTGAGAGGGAACGAAACTGCACCACACTCCCAGTTCATCCAAATCTGTGAACATCACGTTCAGAGAGAGAGAGAGAGAGCAGCTCCATCTCAGAAGACGCAGGATGTCGGTGGCACGCACCCCACATACAACACACACAGAAGCCAATGCTGAGTCACAGTCTGCAAGAGTATAAATTGATACTCTGTAAATTTTTCACAGCACCATGCTGAACACACGCTACAGGGATGGCAGGCATCAGCCCTGAGATCAGCAGCTCCCTGAGGGAGGAGTCGTGGTGAGAACTTCATTTCACTCTAAAGCTCTTCTCCCTATAGTTAATTTCTTCCCAGTATGTAGTACAGAGCCCGGGCTGGCCCCAGGCTGCTCCTCCCGCCCGCATTCCCTGTGTGCTGGGATTACAGATGTGCACCACGCCAGCCTCCCAAGCTCTCATTCTTTCAAACAATATAATATACTAATGCTGAGTTGGTGTTTCATTGTGCTCTATATTTAAAGTCACAGTTAGAGAATGTTTCTATCTTTTAAAAAGAGGAAGGTTCATGAGGCCTTGAAACAGGAAGTTGTGAGGCGTACCCTCTCCTCCTGACTTGCTTCCCAAGCGATTCCTTTACCTCCGGCTTTTGCAACCTTTCCCAGAAGGGCAGTGGGTTCCTATTTCATCCTATGGCTTTACTCCTTGGCCCAATTTCCTTTTAAGGCCCCTTTAATGCTGATTTAGGAACAGAAAGTCCGCCCCAGCAGCCTTTTGCTGAGATGAAACTAGAGCTGTTCCTGGTTTTGCCAAGGATGCTTTGTATAGATGTTTAACACACAAATTATCAGGATGCCTAAGACAGACAGAAAAGCTGTCAGAATATTCTTCTCACTCACAGCCAGCAGCCATTTTCACGTGGTTATTTTAATTTTAAATACCATTACTGTATGTGCCTCAAGGGAGAACTGTCATTTAAAGTGTGACATCCTTTTTTTTTTTTTTTAAGTGAGGACTCTTTGCATTTAAAGAACTCTCTTAAGTCTTTGTACAATTGGGGGGGAGGAAGTGCCTCTACTCTTGTATGTTAAAAAAACTGAAATTAAGATATTGCTAAGGCTTCTTTGCAAGTGGGGTTAATGTTTTCAAACTGCCATATGATTTGATGGAGATGTCAGTGTTTAAGGATGAGAACCTGAGTTCAATCTCCAGCAATCCCCTCTCCCCCACATATGGTGGCTCCAGCCTGTACCCACAGAGCTGCAGTGGCAGGTGAGGGAGAGACAGGCGGATTGCAGGGGCCCACTAAGCTGGTCAGCCTAGCCAGCCTGTGAGCTCCAATGAGAGACTTTCTCAAAGACTGGGTGTGCATCAGTGTACACTTACACAGAACCTTGGTGATTCTGCTTTGGAGGCAGGGCTGCTACCTGGAACTTGCTCCATAGACCAAGCAGGCTTTGGATTTGCAGCAGTATGCTCAGAGCCTCTCTGCCTTCCATCACTGGGATTGCAAGTGGCTGAGTGTGGACCCCTGTGTCCTGCAACCTACAGCATCTAAGAGTTCACTAAGATGCAGGCTTTAAGCTCTTGTATGTTTCCTGGCGAGGTGAATAATGAGATGTGGTTTGGAACACTCACCAAGCTTAAGTGTCCTTAGTGCTGGAGCACTTTGAGGTTGGGTCTTGCGTGTCCTGCGCAACTCTCAGGCTTGCTGGGAGGTGCTGGGATCACAGGCGTGCACAGCCATGCCTGGCCGTATGTAGTATGGGAATTGAAAGCAGAGGTCTACAAATGCTGCACACCACACACCCGCCCTCTGGCCCCTGAACTTTTCTCTGTTATGACAACAGCTTAATATAACTTACCTTTTATTTATTTATTTATTTTCTGTATTTTCTGACTAGCTACTAAGCCCCACTCCCCAAGGTTGGATGTTAGTGCCTGTGTGGTCTTAAAGGCGACAGCTGGAGATTTGAGACCAAGTCTCGATGTGCAAACAGGACAATACGCTAAGACTGACACAAGGATGCAAGAACTTAAACACATTCCAATTTCAGACATTAATACATAAAAGCCTTAATATCACTTCATATAGTCTCATATACTGCTTTAAAAACAGCTTAACCTCAGGCAAGTGCCGGGCAGGAGGCTCATGAGTTTAACCTAATCTACAAAGTAAGTTCCAGGGCAGGCAGGGCTACACCAAGAAATGCTGTCTTGAAAAACTAAATACTAAACAAACAAACAAAAAAACAGCTTAACTTTTTTTCACATTACCAGTGTGTATACCTCCCGTGTATGTTTTCAGAAAAGGTCCGTGTAGCCCAGGCTGGCCTTTAAATTCCTGAGTACTAGGATTACAGCTGGGTACACATCCAGCTTGTACCTTAGCTTAAAATGACGTCCAGTAGCAACTGTTGCTTTCTGGTCTGTGACGGTGTGGCCATGAAATGCTCTTCACAGACTCACCAGCCGCAGTGGTGGTTGTGGAGCTGAGAACATTTAGGGGCCAAGGGCGGCCGGAGGACGTGAGCTGATGTACGTGGAGGCTTCAGTCTTGTTTTTCTCCTGCCTTCTGGAATGAGACGTCTCGGCCACACACTAGCACCAGGGAGCGGCCTACTGCCACGCCTCTCCCTCCTCAGAGTTGTGGCCTTCAAACTGGGAATCTAAATAAATCTTTCCCAAGTCACTTCTGCTGGATGTTTGATTAGAGCGAGGAGAAAATGATCACTATTCTTCCTAACTATACTACATGATATTGCCTGTATTCTAGAGATGCTGTATTATTCTTGCCATTTACTGTTACATTGTCTGCAGCGAGATGACCACAATGCATGTTTTCAGATAAGAGTTCAAAGAAAAATCTGTGGCTCTTGCCATATTCTGATCATTTTCTTTGATGAAAATCTCAGCCGGGCGGTGGTGGCACACACTTTTAATCCCAGCACTTGGGAGGCAGAGGCAGGTGGATCTCTATGAGTTCGAGACCAGCCTGGGCTACAAGAGCTAGTTCCAGGACAGGCTCCAAAGCTACAGAGAAACCCTGTCTCAAAATAAATAAATAAATAAATAAATAAATAAATAAATAAATAAATAAATAAATAAAAAAAAGAAAATTTCAAAGTGGGTTTGAGCTAAAGCCTATGTTGTTTTAGACCTGTGCAAACTGTAAGCCATTCTTCTCCCAAGAACCATGTTAATGGTACTTTAAAAACCACATTAACTTTTTTCTTCCATGTATGGATGTTTTGTCTGCATGTATGTGTGCATACCACACGTGTGCCTGGTGCCCTCGTGTAGGGCATTGGATCCTCTGGAGTTATAATCAAAAGCCACTATGTGGGTGTTGGGAGTCAGACACAGGTCATTTGCAAAAACAGCCAGTGCTCTAAACCACTGAGCCACGTCTCCAGTCCCTGCTAATGGTAAACCACTGAGCCACGTCTCCAGTCCCTGCTAATGGTAAACCACTGAGCCACGTCTCCAGTCTCTGCTAATGGTAAACCACTGAGCCACGCCTCCAGCCCTACAAACAGCACCTTTGACAACACTGTGTATTGCTGGCAGAACTGAGAGAAGGCGATGGTCCTAGAGAATGTTTCTAGACCCCAGGAAGCCAGTGTGAAAATGAGGAAGGGGAGACAAACACCTCTGGATGCTTTTAAATCACACCGTCCTTGGGGTTTAAGGTGCACGTCCAGGCCTGAAGTGTAGCTCAGGGGAAGATCACTTGCTCCACATGCACGAGGTCCTTCATCTGATCCCAGCACATGCCCCCCCCCCCGGGGGGGGGACAGCCTCCTTCTTGTTACAGAGAAACTTCATAAGAATGATCCTCCCTCCATGTACCTTTATTCCCATGTCTCTCTTTGTTTTTTACACAATGCCATAAGTAAAAACATACACCATGCCAGACTCAGAAAAGACAACACTCTTACCCATGATCCCCCCCCCCCCCCCCCCCCCCCCCCCCCGCGAAGATTTGGCACATTTCCTGCATGTTTTTATAATACCCACATGCATACCAGATTATACAGCAAATACCTTCCATACTTTAACCTTAGCTAATAAAACAGACAAGCAGAATCTGTGAGAGAAAGTAACACATAGGGCTCTATGTGCATGCGATTCACCCGCAGCAGAAGCAGCAGTGGCCTCTGCTTCCCTCTGCACCTTTAAACAGAGGTGAAAACGACCAGGAAAGGGGACCTCCTGTTGCAGGTGCTGCCAGCTTCCTTCCTGTGGTCCAGATCTCTATTCTTCTTCGCTTCATGTCCCCTTCCCGAGACAGTTTTGTCATCTCGCTCAGTAGGCCAGACCGGCCTCAAACTCACAGCCACTCCCTGCCCTTCATCATTCTCCCAAGTACTGGGATTATAGGTTATGTCACCACGTCTGGTTAAACTTTCCTAAATCTCAGAAAACACACTCCAAAATCAGGGAAGGGATTAATGAGAGGATGCTATTTAGGATAGCACCACTGCCTATATACAGTTTAAAAATATGTTACTTAAAATGGATAAAAAAGAACACCCAAAACAAATGTTGTAGTTAAAATAGAGTTTCAATGTAATATTTATTTATTTATTATGTATACAATATTCTGTCTGTATGTATGTCTGCAGGCCAGAAGAGGGCACCAGACCTCATTACAGATGGTTGTGAGCCACCATGTGGTTGCCGAGAATTGAACTCAGGACCTTTGGAAGAGCAGGCAATGCTCTTAACCACTGAGCCATCTCTCCAGCCCTAGAATTTCAATGTAATACTCTATATACATTACAAATTTTCAATGATTAGAATATAAAAAAAACAAAATTTACATTAACTAGAACATTTAAAAATCACACCAAGACTATTACATCTTAAGCACAGGACTCAAGAACAAGTTTTCTACAGTGCTGCCCTGCCCACGGCGGGCACTGGGCACATGGATTATGGTGCAGCATCAAGGCTCAGTGTGTGCCTACTGCGAAGTGACTGGATCGTCACGAAGCACAGCTGTCTTCATGGAACACAAATGTGGTTTGTGCAGGCACAACCACCTAACAGTGCTTGTACACAGTGGACAGTTGACATGTACTTTAAACTAGCTGCCTAGACACTGGACTTGACGGTTAAAATAAACACAGCATCTTAACTATTATAAGAAAAAAGAAGGAAGCGGGGGAAACCACCAAAACACAATTTACTAAAAGAGAGGTAGGCGGTGTGACATTTACAGACAGCCTTGGCAGCAGGGTTAATCAGGCTCGAGCATGCGCTGTACCTGTACCCTCCACACTACAGGAGACACCTGGCTAGCACAGGGATGCGGCAGACAAGAGCTGAGACTGTCTTGTCCGGCACTTCTTTACCAGTGAAATCTGCTAATGCTATAGAGGTAATGAGCTGGTATTCTGGATTAAAATGCCAAGGCCTGAGTATGAGCGCTAGTAGCCCAGAAAGTGGACATGGTCGTGAGCAGCTGGGAGGTGGGGCAGGAGGAGTTGAGAGGCCACAGAGCACAGCTGCAGCCGATGCACAAGGAGACGCCCGGAGAACACGAGAAGAAAAGTGGAGAACTGTTTCAGGTCTGACACAAGTCTGTACTGGACACTTCCTCCACAGCTGTGCTGGGGTGAGGCTGCGGGGCAATCCCCTACCAGGGACCCGGGCCACCACGGGGGGGAAAGTGACAGGGGAAAAGAAAACCAAAGTTGAGCTCAGCAACCGAAGAGAACAATGAAAGGGGAAAGGGAAAGCTGCTACCAATCCCGAGGGTAGTTCTCCAACTGCCCTTCCTCCAGTCCAAGCACGGGCATTTTTCATTAGAGGACGACCTAAGGATGGCTGAGGCAAAAGGCACCAGACTATTTCTAAACCCAGCAGCCTGCACGCAGACTGTGTCCCACACGGGACTCAAGCGTGACTGTCCACTGCACACACCTATCCGACATTAAAAACGTGTAGCTTTGGTTGAGAACAAGGTAAACAATGAGAATGAAGGGAACTGATCAAACCAGTGCAGAGCAGGCACCCCGGGCTGGAATTCTCAGAGGCAGAGAATCCACTTAGTGGTAAACACCAGGAACCTGGGGTTGATCCCCAGCAGAGCAAAACAAAAACAAACCCCAACAGCAACAGACAGCAGAGAACAGAGAGAGCAGGCTGCACAGACAACCAAACCCCAGCAACAGACGGGAGAGAACAGGCAGCACAAACGAAAAGCTCAAAAAGGGTCTGTGTTTCTGCTTGGGGTTTCACTATGCAGCCCAGGCTGACCCTGAACTAACTCAGTATGTTCCAAGCTGGTTCTAAAACCATGAGCCTTCTGCTTTAGCTTCCTGAATGTTGGGATTATGGGCGTGTGCCTCCGCACCCTGCTAGGCATTTCAAAATCACTATTTAAACTTAAGGCAATTTTAAAAATGGGGTCTTAGCCAACTCTTAACATTGAAAAGAAGGAAGAAGACACGGTCTGTACAGCAGGAGCCTGTTCAGCAGGCAAGCCTATTTACAAGTAAGAACCTCTTACACTTGTAACATTGTCCTGTTTGCAGAGCATGTACGACTCCCATCCCGCAGTTCATCCAGGAGCCCAGCGACTCCAGGAATCCGAACCAACAGCCACAAGGAACTACTTACAAGCTCACTATAAACGCGGCTTACACACCTGCCCTCAGTGGGGCTCCGCTCACTCAGCTGTGCATGCAGCAATTAGTAGGCACTTGCTATTGCTCTGAGTTAGAAAGGAGATCTTAACACCACTACTATTTACATTCACAATCCCACCAGCCCCACCTCCAAATTAAAAATACCAAATTGCTACAACTGCTACTGCGGTTTCCAAAATATAGTCTCTTATCCTTTTAATGTAAGCAAATATTTACTAATCTTCGGCATGTCGACGCACACAGCGCTGGCAGGAAACGGTAACTTGCTGCTATGCTACTTCATTCTTTTCCTCTTTTTCAAAAGTGCATCTCGTAGTGCTAGCTGCAAGAGAAAAGGAAGAAAACGTCAACAGTAACACTTGCTACACCAACTAGGTCATAGTTACCAGACACTAGGTCAATAGCCATCCTAAAAATGTCACATAGTGAAGTATTTCACCAGATGGCTCGGTGGAGAAAGGCGACCGCTGCCAGCCAGTAACACAATCTTACCGTCATCACCACTGTAACTTCTTTTCAATGGCAAAGACTTGAAGACATTAGCAAGGGGTCAAAACTTTGGGTATTGGGCTCAAGACAAACAAGCATTTCTTCCTAGTTAACCCAGGCTCTCAGTCTTTCACTTCCTCAATCACTTTGTGTCAGAAACCTATCAGGTGAAGTGAAAGCAGCGTGTGTGCATTCCAGCTGGATGTGATCCTGTCTTCTAGCACAGGAATGGGGGCTCCTGGGACGATCATATATGAGGTAGAATTACAGAGTTTAAGACCAAAACCAATGTCTGCAGTGACCTTATGTTTCCTACAGAAACAGCATCACCTGACTTCAGGGAGGGCACGCGGCATTTCTCTGCTCTGCTCGGCACTTGGAGGTACAGATGTCCCCTCAAGATTCTTGACCCTCCCAGATAACAGAATACGAAAGGCCATTAACAACAAGTCCAAGTTTTAAGTAGTAACGGTAAGCAAGGCCCAGACACGCGTCTCCATTAATTCCCAACATAACCCTGGCTTTTACTTCACTAAGGTGAGTTAACTTGTTGTGCTGTGTTAGCAGACATGTTTGGAAGCCAGGTATCGTGACTCACGCCTTCAGCACCTGGCAGGCTGAGTCAGAAAGACGAACTTTAAGGCCAGTCTGGACTCATACTCATCTGAAACCCTGTCTCAAAAGTACCAAGCCCACTCTAGGTTAGCTGTCGCCGGCTCTACATCTCTATGCCTTCAGCTTCCTGCTAGAGTTTCCATCTCCATGAAGGCAGGTGGAATTGTTAGGTCAGCTGAGGCAGGTGTCCGGCACTCTCCAGGGTCTTGCTGCTTGCATTTGCACTTCACTCACAGGAGCCGCTCATGTGTCACTCGGGCGTCCAGGGGGCTAAGCTGCAGGCCAAGCACTGTCCCAGCGCACACTGGCCATTTCGGTCAGCACAACTATTAGCACAGCCCAGATCCTTCCCCGCAGACACCACCGTCTTTCCAGGCATGTCTGCAGTCCCTTCTCTTGGCTCTGCAGCAAGGCTTCGAGGTCCTGTCCAGCACAGTGAAATGCCCACAGGGTAATTCAAGCTGCTCTTTCTCAGAGGGTGCCAGGGTCCCCGGAGCTTCAGGGACTCTGGCTACTGAGCATTTGACATGAGCCACAGGCAAACTGCAGCAACAGAAACAATTAGGACAAAGTTCCTTGTTCAAACAGGACCCTGGATTTTAATTAGTTAACACAAATATAAAATATCTCAACAACTTCTATATTGATTAGGTGTTAGAATTACTTCGATGTTTTAGGCAAAACAAGGCATACTATTAAAATAAATTTCATCTTTTTTACTTAAAAATAATTTAATACTTGATGCTCTTTTTGTTTGTTTGTTTTTTAGTTTTGTTGTTTTTCGAGACAGGGTTTCTCTGTGTAGCCCTGGCTGTCCTGGGCCCCTCTCTGTAGACCAGGCCGGGCTCAAACTCAGAGACCCGCATGCCTCTGCCTCCCAAGTGCTGGGATTACAGGTGTGCGCTGCCACTGCCCAGCTGACTTAAGGAATCTTATGTTCAGTTTAAACAGTGGGGGGTCTAGGTGCAGCAGAGACAATATGGAAAATCAGTTGTTTTATAACAATAAACCCTGAAGAAACTGCAAGGCAAGGAAACAAACGCAGGAAGGCTGGCTCATCTGTCAGTTCACGCAGCAAGAGAACTGCAGAATGAAGAAGCCTTCTTAAAACAACAGCTTTGACGGGTACAGTGCAGTCATAATTTAGTCTTAGAATTTCTCCTATTCGGAGAGAAATGTTTACTAACGCACTGGTGAGGATCAAAGTCCAGCTTCTCTACCGCTAAGAAACGGCATCCTATAAAATAGGAAGTGGAGTAATGGCCTAAGCTCAATTAAATCTTGCAGAAGCAAGGCTACCAACAGGGTGTGGCTGCCACTTTCTCAACCCTAGTTAGGAAGGCTCTCAAGGACAGAACATAAGTCAATTCAACTCTGTGGCAAAATCCAGAGCCTTTATTTAGAAATGTCATTGCTTTATTTCCTACACATGGTAAGTAAAAGTAAAAGAATAAAAGCAGGTAGAGTTTAGGTGGAGCTGTCTAGAGGGCTGGCCACTACCCCCAGCCTTGACAGGCTGTCGGTGGCTAGCTACCAGGAAAGATGGCTGACACTGTGCAGCCTGGGGCTGATCCTCTACAGCTGCTTCAGAGGAGAGCACACCGTGTCAGTCTGTTCCTACAGTGCATCACTGAGCAGAGCAGGCCACCCGGGCAGCATGGCTGGGCCATGCACGGTAGCACATGCCTGCAATCAGAAGCAGCACTTAAATGGCTGGAGCAAGGGAATCTCCGAGGAAAGCCAGTCTGGCTGAGATCAAGCCACTATAAAGCACACAGTAAGACCCTGTCTTAAAACAAAATGGGCAGCAAAGCAGCTAAGCTACAGTGGATAGAAATCCCACAGGCTGTAAGCATGATGCTCTCTGAGACAGAATACATACATCACAACTCACCACAACTGTGTGCTGCCTTCCTGAGCTGGTCCACACCCAAGAGTGCTTCCTGACCAATCAATCTACTTCACAGGGCATGGGAATGCACCTCAGAGGGGACCCAGCTTGATTCTTTCACTTCAGAGACAACGATCCAGGTCACCCACAGGTCACATGGTGACCCCATCAATCCCACCCTGACTGCTCCCAGCCTCCCCAAGCACACTTGGCATGTGGTCCTCAGAGGCAGCCCTCTTGTAAAACATAGCTGTCTTTATGTTGCTGAACTCAGGCCCACGCGGAACCCACCTGCTTCTCCCGGAAGGAGCGCTTGGTCTTTGACCGGACATTCTGGCTGTACCGCATCATCATAAAGTTCTTCTGCTTCTTCTTCTCTTTATTTGTGGAACTGGAAAATGGATTTATTTTGGTTTTCTTCCTCACAAATTCCTTTCGATCTGTCCTTCCTGCCTATTAGTACAAAGAGATTACTGTTCAGCATTTCTTCAAGAACAACACACCTCAGGCATTACCTAATCCCTCTGTTTGATGCCAAGGGCAAGACAGAGACAAAGTGCAGCTCTTGCTCCCTGGGACTCAATCCTACAGAGACAAGGATGGAGCTCAGCGAAAGGAAACGTCCCGAGATTCAGTCTAATTCCAGAGGCCGAGCTGGGGTTGGCAGGTGGGAAAGAGGAAGAGGTCAGTGTGTGGAAAAGTGGGGGAGAAAGCACATGGCTCTAACTGCCCATGTGGGGCTCCATTCACAGACTGTGAGAGTGAGGAGGAGCTACTGCCGAGGCGCAGAAAGCAGCAGACACGTGGTCACTGCACGAACGTGAGCAGCAACAGCACGAGCCGCAGGCCGACTCTGCGACCACATTTCTCTATTGCTTTAATAAATGTGCTAAGCACCCTGACCCACGAGCACGTAAGACTGCATTTCTGTCCTCTACATCTTGTTTTGGGTGGTAGTCACAGGGTTAAATACAGCTGTCAAAACTCATCTCACAGTCAGGTACGGATGGGACATTTTTAATCCCAGCACATGAGGGCTGACCTGAGTCTATATGGAGAGTTCCAGGACAGCTACACAGAAAGACTCTGTCTCAAAACAACAAAAAGTACACCAAAAAACAAAATCACAAAAGCTCTCCTCTAATTGGGGTGACTCCATTGGTAGAATGCTTGCTTAGCAGGCACAGGCTCGGGTCCTTTTCCCAGAGCTGCATAAACCAAGCAAGGCACAGGTGTGTAAACCATCTGGGGAGCAGAGGCAGGAGGGTCAGGAATCCAAAGGTCATCCTCAATTAAAGCTTTAGGTCAGCCTGGGGTGTGGGTTATGTAAGATCCTGCCTGCCTTAAAACAAAACAAAAAACCACCTAATTCAACTGTTAATTATACCTTTAAAGGGTGGGTGTGAGGGAGGGAGGGAGGAAGGGCATGGACCAGGAAGCTCACAGCTGCACACACTGGGGATTAAGACTCCTTCTATCCACCTCCTGTTTAGAATGGGGAAGGGTATGCCCCCACTCACCATGGCGGTTGCTAGTCTTGTCTCCTTGTCAGACTTGGGCTTTTTATGAAGGCGTTCAATGTCCCGAAGAGACAGCAATTCACCCCTGTGGTGAGGGATAAAAAATACAAAATGATGGTGAGCCCTTCCCCTGATGCTTTCTTCCATTGCCAGCCACTGCAGATCTGGGCATGGGCCACTTTCACCTGGACTCCTCGTCGCTGTCGATGTCTATGAATTTCCTTTTCTGGGCTTTCCCGGGGGCAGCATCCATCTCCTTCTTCATCTGCGCCATGCGGATTTTCTGGAAGTCATCCTGTGTTAACACCCGACTTGTGCTGATGGCTGCAGCTTTGGCTTTCCGCTCCTCCATGGGCATGCTCTCCAGCTTCTTGGCCTGGAAAAGCATACAGCCAAAAGGAAAATGACTACCAGCTTCAGTGGCAGGTCAGTCATTTAAATTTTAACATGGTCCAGCAAACATGGCATCTTGGCAGTGACACCCTTGAGAGAGGTCACGTGGCTTACAATTTCCTGCTGCTCTTCGTCAGAAGAGTGGTGCACGTCGACCCACTCACCATCCTCCTCCTCCCCGCTGAGGCTGGCGCTCTCCCATCCATCTGTGTGAAAGAGAACGCATTGACACAGCTACCTCTTCAGGTCGGGCAGTCACAGCAAGGTGAGCAAAATCAGCAACTTTGTTGAAAAGCAAGGAAATGAACCTCGGCTACTCCACTGACCAGCAACTGGGCGACATCACTGCCACATGCCACATCAACTTAGTTAATTTAAGGAGTCAGGACCCAGCACTGACCAAGTGTCTATTAACAGCCCAAACCTAACAGTGACTTATCTAATTCTTACAGCTCAAAGAGGAACAGACAGAGGGACAGACTCTCAGTTAAGTCACGTGCCAGAAAACACAGCCTGCACGGAATCATGGAGAGCCCGCCAGCATCCCCTTGCTGTCCTTCAGAACTGTGCCTAGACATTAACTGGAGCCTGAAGCATGTATATGTCTAACTCACCCAATGTACTCAAGACGTAGGAGAAACAAGTCCAGTGACTTGGAGTACAGAAAAGGCCTCCGGATACGAAAGAACCTGAAGATACCTCAGTAAAGAGGCTGCCAGGATACAAGAGTATCACAGGGGCTGGAGAGATGGCTCAGAGGTTAAGAGCACTGGCTGCTCTTCCAGAGGTCCTGAGTTCAATTCCCAGCAACCACATGGTGGCTCACAACCATCTGTACTGAGATCTGGCGCCCTCCTCTGGCGTGTGGGCATACATCGAGGCAGAATGTTGTATACATAATAAATAAATCTTGGGCTGGAGAGATGGCTCAGTGGTTAAGAGCATTGCCTGCTCTTCCAAAGGTCCTGAGTTCAATTCCCGGCAACCACATGACATAATAAATAAATAAATTAATTAAAAAAAAAAAAAGAGTATCACAGCTCTTTGGTCCGGCTTTTACACAACCACTCACAGGCACCCTGATCTTGCCAGGTAGCTTCAGGGGCCAGATCTTCTGTGGCATGAGTGAGAACCTGGGTTCAATTCCCAGCAAAAGGCAAGGCAAGGGAAATGAACCTTCGTCATTTTCTGTATTCTCTTCTTTCTCAATCTCCAGAACCTCTGCTCCCGGAATGTAATCTTTAGCATCTAACTCTCCATATTCTTGTATTCTTGCTTCAATGGAGGCTTCAGTCGGTTTACCCTACAAGAGAAAATTATTTAAAAATAAAGATGCTTAGATTCAAAGGAATGTTCATAATGAAAGGCCCTCTAGGGTGAGAGGAACCTGCTTACACATCAGGCCAACAGCGTAACGCCAGGCAGAACGCAGGTCACTTCTCACTGCCGTCGGATCTAAACCGAGAAACTGGCTTTGTACAGAGTAACTGCCCTGGCTTTAAGTCTCAGCAGTGCCGCCTCTGTTTACAAAGCTTCCCTCTCTGCCAAGAGGCGGCGCCCGGCTGGGCTGTGCATCAGCTGCTGACGGGCACCGCCGACGCCAGCCCGCCGACAGCATCAACACTGTCAAGTACGAAAGCCAGCACGCCCCAAGACTCAGCCTCATCACAGAGCGCGTGCTGGTCACAAGGGTCGAGGACCAAGGAATTCAATCAATGGCGTCCTAAGCTTGAAGAACAGAACACACGCATCCCGCACACTCCCCATGGAAGATGCATCGCTCATCTATCATGTGACCAGCAGGCACTGCCTCACGCCTGACCACAATCTTTAGAATCTTTAGACCACCCCAAGTTAGCTTCACCTACCCGGAACTTCTTCTGCAGCATCTGAGGGTTCAGTGTCCGGAAAAGATGAATCAAAGTTCTGGCAGACATCATTACGTCTGTAAAACACCACCTTTGGTTAGAAATGTCGAAGCAAAGACCACTGAGAGGTAAAGGCAGGACGACTGTGCCGCTGGCCCACAGAGAACGACAGGCAACTCACTCTTATCTTTGTGTGTCTTGTACTGAGCCAGGTCCTGGAGAAGTTCTTCAGTCATGGCCAAAGGACATCGAGCTGTTATTTCCTTTATAGCATTGATTCTGGAAAAGGAAAAGTAAATTCAAAATAAAAGAGTAATTTTATGGTCAAAAATCAAAAGGACCACAGGTTGGATTTCACAGACTTAGGACCCTAAACCTGCAGTGTGGCCGAGAAAGACCGTGAATAGCCGTCCAGGCTGATATTCCCAACAGTCACACTTGCTCTGCCAGTGTAACAAGGACCAGTGTTGGGCACAACAAATCATGGCAGTGTTTGCTCACCCACTCTAAAGAGAGGCATAAAGTCAGCTCAAAAGGGTTAAAGGTCTTTAGGGCTGCTATCCCAGCATCAGTTTGCAAGGGAGATACAAAGTAACTGCTTAGTGTATCACACAGAGCCCTTTGAGTCACCCAGAGGGGTACAAAAGTTCTCCAGCCTCTCTTCAGAGTGACTCACTAACAATCACATGTCCCAGTGTAAGGGAACTTCATGGGAGGAGAAAAAGAAGCATTAGGTCGTTAAACAGTCCTTGACTACAAACCATCACATGCTGATCACAAGGACAAGTATTTTTGATTTGAGTCTCTCCTTAGAATTCTAATCAATAAAATGAAAACACCAAGCCTCCTGAGAAGACTGCTCTTCTAGAGGCTGAAGCTACAGCTCTAACAACTGCCCATGTTGGTCTATTAAACAACACCCACGGTCCCATGCTGACGTACCCTACAGTCATGACTTCCCCAGAGTTCTTGTCAGTAACAAAATTGTTGGCCACCGTCATGAGCAGCGATTGAATGATCTGAGTTGGAAACAAAAGAGGTAAGTCGGGTGAGAGGCCCTTGCTTCCGGAGCAGAGCAGTCGTCAGTGCGAAAGCAGCCTTCCAGCTCCAGGATGGGAGCTGAGAACCAAACCCAGGCAAGTGAGGGACTCAGTACTCCGGGTTATACTTCAGGCGAAGGTTACCAGCGTTGGACACGATGTCCTCTAACATTGTTTCCTTCTGTAAAATTCTGATACTTTAGTGTGTGGGTGTGCACACACCTCAGTGCACACCAGGGCACATGTGTGGAGGTCAAAGGAGAACTTGCAGGAGCCAATTCTCATCTTATCCCTCACTGAAACAGGTCTCTCGTTTCTACTGACCTCAACACTCTAGGCCTCCAACTCAGAGATCTGCCTGCCTCTGCCTCCCAAGTGCTGGTGCCCAGCTACTTTCGCTTTCTTACTGCACATATTCCATTACATTGTCTTTAAAAATGATACTATCAAAACAAAACTTTGCTTTGACACAGGATAATTCAATGTTAATCAAAGGATTATCAGCTTAAACAATAATCACCATGAAGTTATAAATACTCTTGGACCTTCCTAGACATATATAATTTGGTTGTTAAAATCAGACTCCTCAGCTTGTTCCCTTCTATGAACTGTATAGCTAACTTCTATCACATCTCCTTAGGAGTTAGGTCTCCTCTGTTCATGGAAAGAGAATAGGAGAGACAGCAACTCTGGGAAGAAACCCTAATATGCCCAGCAGCAGCACCGCGCTACACTTGATCTCTGTGCGCGCGCGCGCTCCATGTCCCTATTCTGGAGGTCATGGTGAGTTCTCACCTCTGGTGGCACCAGGTGATGAGAGGCTTGTGCAGCAAACAGAAGGATCTTCGTGACTTCTGAAAGCACAAGAGACAAGAAAGCATACACATTATCATCTGCCTCCACGGACTACAGCAACATGGCAAGCAAACTCAGCTATCGCATGGCCATCACTTAACTTACTTACTTCACCCGAAGACCAACCCCTACCTATGTCCTGGTCTCACCTCTGGGCTTCTTCAGGTCTTTTGTTCTGCCCTCCGTGATTGCACAGGCTAACAGAGCATCTGCCCCCATACCCACCACTGCCCTTACTCTGCTTTTCTCTTCCAAACCCTTGACCTGGATATTATACACTGTGTTGTCGAGGACTCTGCCTTATGGTCACCATGACCTCAGTGTCTAACAGGCGCACTGCTCCTGGGCTCTGTGCGGGCTGTGTGTGGCAGCTCACACCTACAGTCCTAACACTTAGGAGTGGCAGCAGAGACAGTAGGACCCCGCGACTGGGGCCAGCCAGGGCTACACACCAAATCTGGTCTCAAGCAGCAAACTAATCAAATAAGTTGGACAGACACAAACGCACATGTGTGAACACACTCTCTTCCAAGAGGCTGCATAGTCCATGGAAAGAACAGGCCTTTGGACCAGGCGCATGGCTCATGCCTCTAAGTGTAGCCCACGAGAGGCCCATGCAGGAAGCCCTCTGATGTTCCAGCCTGGGCTAGAGAACCCGCTTCAAAAACAAAAAAAACAAAGGAGGCCTTTGGGAAAGAGGCAAAGCTGACTTGTCACTCATTTCAATGACCGTGGTCACTTTCTGAACTTCAAAGAGGCCACTCATCAATTTCATCGAGTGATTACAGAAAGCACAGATGTTCAAATGTCCACTTCCTGTTTGGGCAAAACAAGCAACTGTCTTTCCCTGCTTTTGTGTCATTGCTAACAGAGAAGCACACAGGGCCATGGAGACCAGTAACCAAAGGCCCGTTACTACAACGCTACAGTTAAAGGGGAAAACTAGGTCTATTTTTTTTACAATTTATTTATTTTTTATGTGTATGGATGTTTTGCCTACACATGTGTGTGTGCGCACCACATGCGTGTGTGGTGCCTGTGGAGGGCAGAAGAGCTCCTACTGTGGTTACAGACAGTTGTGAGCCACCATGTGGGCGTGGGAGTGGACACAGGTCCTCTGCAAGAGTAGTGCAAGAGTAGTATAGTGCTCCTAACTTAGGCGCCGCCTCTCCAGCCCCCAAACTAGAATTTTTTTTAAATATTTATTTATTTATTATGAATACAATATTCTGTCTGTGTGTATGTCTGCAGGCCAGAAGAGGGCACCAGACCTCATTACAGATGGTTGTAAGCCACCATGTGGTTGCCGGGAATTGAACTCAGGACCTTTGGAAGAGNTTATTATGCATACAATATTCTGTCTGTGTGTATGTCTGCAGGCCAGAAGAGGGCACCAGACCTCATTACAGATGGTTGTGAGCCACCATGTGGTTGGTTGCCGGGAATTGAACTCAGGACCTTTGGAAGAACAGGCAATGCTCTTAACCACTGAGCCATCTCTCCAGCCCCAAACTAGAATTTTTGACAGAATTTATATTACAAAAAGACTTGCAATCAAGAATTCATCTTTACTATTTTTTAAAAATAGGGGCTATGTGTGTGTGTGGTTAGGGCTGACCTGAGGTCCTGATCCTCCAACACCAGCCTTCCACTTTTCCTTTCTCTATATAACACACACAACGCTCTCTGTCCTTAACGACGCTAAAACAGACTAGCCACTTATTAGGTCACAGCCAAGGATCAGACACACAGGCACGTTACCTCTCTGGTGGGGCTGCAGAAACCTTTGCACAAAAGGGTAGAAGTTGAAGAGGAAAAGCTGTGGAGAGAAGCATGTACTGACTTCAGTCTTTATGAAACTTAAGCATGACATTTCATCACCCAGGTAAATGCACTGGGAATCACTTTGACTCGTTTTAGTCTCGTGAGCAACCCCACCGCAGGTGAATTCAATGCGCTGCAGTAACCCAGGGAAAGAATTCTCTCCCCAGCACTGTCCTGCTACCTCGCCAGGTGAGAGAAAGAGCAGATAAAGCAGGGGAAGGCTAACAAAACCCAGCCCTCTTCTGTTTTGACCCTGGCCTGGCTGTAGAGCTGTCTTGGTGTTCACAGAAGGGAGCCAGACCAGGAGCAGCACTGGTCCTGAAGTCCCTGGGGTCAGAGCAGGGTAACACTGAGTGGCCTAGTGCTGTCAGACTGCCCTGAACTGACAGTCCGCCTCTACTCTAGTCCAACCACACTGGAGGAAGAACTATGAACTCTATCTGTAATCAAGGAAACCAACATGCTGAACAATCTCAGAACAGAACCAGTCATGACATCTGTGTCAGAAAACCGGGCTGGAGAGATGGCTCAAGCGTTAAGAGCACTGGCTGCTCTTCTGGAGGACCTCACGCTCCCAGCACCCACATGGGGACACACAACCATCTGAAACTCTGGTCCCAGAGGATCCAATGCTCTCTTCTGGTTTCCATGGGCACCGAATATACGTATTACACAAAAGTACATGCAGGCAAAACCCCCATACACATAAGAAAAAAAAAAAAACAAAGCAGTTAAGAGAACACTTTCAAGGGTCACTTTGTGATCCTTTTTAAAGGTAGCTACTCTGAAAGTATTCACACAAACACCACCAAGGAGCTCTTGCAATCTAACTCAATACCAAAAAATACCCAGGGATTCCAGCTTTGCAAACGTACAACCCCTACCAGAGACACCTGGAAGTTAATATCAGGAAGGGTTAAGCACACTGAAAAGCAGCAAGAATCAACAGAAGTATGTAGTTTATCCTGGTTCAGGAACACACACGTGAAAGTAACAAGAGAGAGCCCGTGATGGCTCCACGTGAACTGAATGTGCATAGGTTAGTACCACACACGCTGGAGAGGGAGCACGTGATGGCTCCATGTGAAATGAATGTGCATAGGTTAGTACCCACACACGCTGGAGAGGAATCAGTGGTAAATAAAAGCAGCTGTTTTCAGACAGGAAGGCTGGATTCCCTGCCGATTCTAACTGCGCAAATGGCTTCAGGATTAAAACTGAAACATTGTTCTATGTAACTGCTAACATCCCCAGAGCAGCAGCACAGTCCGCACCTCGTGAATCCCCACCAATCTGGAGATGAGGTTCATGAGCATCATCTTCACTTCAAACCTCTCCTTACAGCTCTCCAGCTGCTTCAGGAGCTTCTCCGCAAAGTCTGGAAGGAAACAATCAGAGAACTGTGGGTTCATGGCTGCAGACAGCACTTAACAGGCACAGGGGGAGGGCGTGGCACGAGGAGTTACATCAGTGAGAAGATCAAATACGGCACCCAAATTCATCTTAAGAATTCCTAAGATTTTTTTTTAGACAGGGTCTCACTACATAACCTTAGCTGCCCTGGAATTCACTGTGTAGAGCAGGCTGGCCCATAGAACTCAGGGATCTGTCTGCCTCTGCCTCCTGAGTGCTGTGCCAACACTCAAGGTGATTTTTAACACTTGTTAGAGACTAGTTACTTATTTTATTTATGTATATGCATGTATATGCACATGTGTGCACACAGTCAGAGGATCCCTTAAAGCCAGGCTGGCATTGTGTGCCACCCAACATGGGTGCCAGAAAGCAAACTTGGGTCCTCTGCAAGAGCAGCCAGTGCTCTTAGTCGTTAGGGCAACTCTTCAGAGCCCTGGATTCCTAAGATACATATTTAAAATAATTTCTTTTATCTTTTGAGGTTATAATCATATCATTTCCCCCTTTCTTCCCATATGCCTTTCCTGGCCTGTTTCCATTAATTGTTGTTTCGTGCATATTTGTGTATGTGTATACACACATATTCCTAAACACAGATTCCCGAGATGCTGTGCACCGACCTCTATAGTGGATAGTTTGCTTCTGAGAGTGTGCTCTGTAGGCCACCAGCAGCCAACCTACTAGGACTTTCTTGGAAGTGCAGACTCCAAAGCCACACCCACGCCCTAGTGAACCAGAATCTGTACTTTACCCAGTTTCCAAGGTAATTCAATTAAAAAAAAAAAACTGGTCTAAAGAGTAATAAGTTAACAGTAAGTGATAAGGCCAACAAGGAACTCAGAAGTAGTAATTATGGTACCTTGGGGATCATGAATCAAATGAATAGCTGAAAAGTTAAACACTTCTGGTTTCTTCTTCTTCTTTTGTTTCTGAAAGAGAACAGAAACCCACTCAAAACCCCCCGGTTATGAATTAGCCATCCTCAGACTGTGTCCCGAGCCATTAGCAGTCCAAGACTGACTGTGTCCTGAAGCCATTAGCAGTCCTAGACTGACTGTGTGCTATGTGCCCAGCAGGGGAATGTGTCGGTGTTCTTTGTCTTGCTGAGACTGGGTTTCTTACTGAACCTGGACTTGCTGTTTCTAGGAAGGCTGACCGGTCTCCTGTCCTACCAGACCTAGGCTTACAGATGTGCACAGCCACATCTGGCTTGTGCTGGATGTCTGAACTCAGGTGGTCATGCTTGCACAGTGGAGTTCTCATCCACTGAGCCATTTCCCTGCCCCCATTACACTAGCTCAAAAGAAAAAAAAAATTCTTGTTCTAAAAACCTCTTTTCATTTGGAAGAAGCCAGGTGTGGTGGCACACACCTTTGATCTCAGCACTTTGAAGGCAGAGACAGGTGGATCTCTGAGTTCAAGGCCAGCCTGGTCTACAGAGTGAGTTCCAGCACAGCCAGAGTTAGCTACATAGTGATACCCTGACTCAAAGAAACTAAACCAAACCAACCAACCAAACAATACCAATAACAAAAAAGCTTTGAAAACAGATCAGCTATGAAAATGTGTGAGACAGAAATTTAAAGATGCAAATACTAGCACCACACCATGCAAGCATGAGGACCAGAGTTTGCATCCTCAGCACCAAGAGGGATGTGGTGGTATATTTTATAACTCAAGCTCTGGGAAGGCAGAGATGGGTAGATTCCAGGAGCTCACTGACCAGTCAGAGCTGAACATAACCTATTTATCTAAAATGTCAGTGCTTACAACTCACCATCCATTTCTAAGGTTTGTTTGTTTTTAATGCTCTTTCTCTCTCTCAAAACCTTAGCAGACAAAAAAACAAAACAACAACAACAACAAAAACAAAAAACAAAAAAAACAACCCATGCATACTCCACACTCTGAGGATTCCAACTGCAGTTTCCAGGCACGGACCTTACCTTCAGCACTTTCATTGCCTTTTCCAATTTCTTCTTGTTTTTGGAGCCCTTCTTCCCCGTGGCATACTGCACCAGCAGGTCTCTTGCCGTGGGTCCTTCATCCTAAAGAACAAAGTACACTGGGAAACTGGGAACAAGGAAAATCTGCACAGGAGCGGGGTATAGGCCTCCTACATTCCGTTTTGTTCTAAAGGTTTATTTAATTTTTATTTATGTGTATATGTGTGTCTGTTGTGAGCATGTGCATGAGTGTAGGTGTCCACGTAGACTAGAGGCCTTCAGTGGCCAGGAGCTGGAGTTACAGGAGTCTGGTTGTTTAACATGGCTTCTACAGACTCAGCTCAGGTCAATGGAATTGCTCCACGAGTGCTTGTATCAGCTGAGCCATCTCTCTGGCCCCTAATTTTGGTTCTTAGACTTTTTTCACACACCCACTAATGAATACAACCTTTTAAAAACAGGAAATCAGCACACATGTGCAAAATCAGACCACACATTTTCCCTACAGCAATGATTTTTGCATCCTTCATTTCAGTATGATATACAGATACAATGTTGCTTTTATTTGTAGGAAACTGGAAATGTATTCATCAATAGAAGAACGCTTAAGTATAATACATTCATATTCTGAAATATTCTGGAATATTCACAGATCTAAACAAAATGCATCTGCACACACTGACACAAAGCACACTGTAGTGTGTACATGATACATACAGCTGCTAAATGCTTACACAGGACTTTCTGTACAAACATAAATGCACTGGAAACAAAACGGTTACCTGGAAGGAAGGAAATGTGACAGAAATAACCCAAAGTCAAGAAAACCCCTTACTTTGTCTAAATTACCTCAAAGTTTTTACAATGAAATATAGTAAGATGCTACAGGGAGATCCTGGTTTAGTTACCACAATGCTAAAATTATTAATTTGTATGTGTGTGTGTGCACCCGTCCCTGCAGATCCCTACAGAGAATAGAGGGGTGTTCAGTCCCTTGGAGCTGGAGTTACACACAGCTGTAGGTGTCCAACATGAAGGCTGGGAACCAAGCTCTGGTCCTCTACAGGAGCAGGAAGTGCCTGTTACCACTAGGGCACAGCTCTAGTCCTGCACGTATATGTTTTTAGAATATATCTTTTTACTTCTTCGATTTTAAAGACACCACAATAATTTTAAAGACTCCTCTGTCCTACGTTTGTATGTTGGGACCACCCCAAAACTGCCAGCATCTTCTCTTCCTCTAAGGTTATACACACGTACAGGTAGAAACAGCTCAGAGCGCAGACCAGGGGCGAGTGAACCTGAGCCACATTTTAGCCAGTCTTGCTAATAAATAAGAGGAATAAGGAGCAAACGTTTTTGAACTGAAGCCTCGGCACGGCAGAACTCTGAAAGGACAGACGTGACACTGCCCACAAACTCAGCATCTAAAGGTCTGACAGACTGAACTCAGCGGAGCAACACATGGGGAACTGACAACTCTAAGGCCCTGCATTCAACCCACCTCGGATTCCGAGTCACTGTCCTGTTTCTCTTCCTCATCTTTCCCAAGGAAGAAGGTCAAAGCAGCAACCAATATCTAAAGACCAACAAGAAACAAGTCAATGTACCCAGCCAAGAACAGACTTATGCCTACACTTCCACCCCACTGCTGTGTCTGAAGAAAAAGTCTCAAAGGGTGGGAAGGAGGGCCGCTTGTTTCACAGACACGCAATAACATCCGTCACTAGGATGAGGCGAGGGATACAGCTCAAGGGCAGCAAACACGCTTGAGAGTAAGCCCAATCCCGGGTTTCCATACCCAGGATCCCCCAAAACCAATCATTTATTTGATAAAGAACTGTCAGGCACAGATCACATGAAAGGAGAGGTCAGCCCTCTCCTGGACAAACAGAAGGGCCGCGGGCCTCCCAGCACACGCGTAGCTAAGGCACTGGTGCCACACCTGGGGCATCTAATCACGTCTTTAGACGCTCGTATCCACTGATAAACATGGACTTAAATCAACAAACAGAAGTGACCGTCAGGCTCTATACAATCACCCTTCCGCATCACAAGAAAGGAGCTGTCACAGCCCTTCTGACAAGCCACATGCTGTCTGAGTTTCTCTCAACCGGGCCAGAGCCCACAGAAAAAACGCCGACTATCACGGGGGAAATAATGCAGTTCAGTTGGCTGGTGATTCTTTTTACAGTCGCTTTCCTGGCTCACACTTTAGAGGAGTCAGCTACAACTCCAGGATAAAGCATGACGGAGTAAATGGCAGCCATCTCCTCCCAACACACCCAGCTCCACTTCACCCTCAGCAACAGATAGCCCTACAGCTCACCTTGGTGACTTTGGAGAAACAGGCAGTTGTGATAACGTTGACAGTTTTAGCATCATTCCTGGAAGAGAAAAAGGCACAGAACAGTGAGTCCTTCTGACATTAGGATGATCAATTCTAGGACTTAAAGTGACAAACCTCTAAATGAGCCCGCATAGGTACAAAACTTCATCACAAAGCTGAAGCCATCAATGTGAAGAATATTTGGTGCCACAGGATAAGTGTTAAAAAAAGAAAAAAACAAAAATGCCAACAACTCAGAGGAGAAAACAATACAGCAAATCCAGAGCTGGAGGAACGGCTGGTAGGAGAGTGCTCGTGCGCGTATGAGCACCGGAGTCCTGACCCAGGACTCCTGTCAGGGGGCATGGTGGCCTGTCTGCTGGCAGACACGGGATCCCCACAGCAAGCCGGCTTGCTCAGATTACCTGAACTAGCTCAACTGCGTCAACTAGGTTCCAATGAGAAACCTTGTATCAGGTATAAGGGAAGGAGCAATTGAGGAAGACAGCAATAGGACGTCAAGTTTGAAGGGGCACACACATGCATGTGCACGTACGTGCTCGTGCACACTTGTGCACTCTCGCACGCGCGCGCACACACACACTTTAAAACTCTGCAAAATCTCAACCACAGCTGAAAAGAAGTTGATTTTAGCTCACACTCCACCACGGAAAGATGAGAGGGCAGCAGCTGAAGCGGAGGCCCCCGAGGAGGGCTGCTTATCGGATTTCTTCCTCATATTACTCAACCCGCTTTCCTGAACAACTCAGGACCACCTGCCCACCGTGGGCTGTGCCCCCGCACACCCATCTCTAATTAAAGATGCACCTAAACTGCCTACAGACCATCTGATGGAGGCATCTTCTCAGCCGAGGCTCCTCTTCCCAAATAACGAGCTGACAAACCGACAAACCATATCAGATTGCCTCTGTATTTTATGTCAACATAATATTAAAAAGTGTAAGATTAAAACAAAGACAAAAAGTCACACTTAGCTGGGCAGTGGTGGCGCACGCCTTTAATCCCAGCACTTGGGAGGCAGAGGCAGGCGGATCTCTGTTAGTTCGAGACCAGCCTGGTCTACAAGAGCTAGTTCCAGGACAGGCTCCAAAACCACAGAGAAACCCTGTCTCGAAAAACCAAGAAAAAGAAAAAAAAGAAAGAAAAAAAAAAAAAGTCACACTTATCTATGAGCTCTGTGATCATTACAAATGAAAATAGCTGGGCGGTGGAGCACACCTTTAATCCCAGCACTTGGGAGGCAGAAGCTGGCAGATCTCTGAGTTTGAGGTCAGCCTGGTCTAGACAATGAGTTTTATTGTTCATTATAAGCCAGAGCTTATACAGAGAAATCCTGTCTCCAAAACAAACAATAGACAACACATGTGTATGTCTGTTTCTCATGGAAAAACTCCTGTGTGTTACCAGATGTTCCTTCTGTAGAGCTCGATCATGACGTCCAGCGACATCTTGGCTGCAGTCGCGTTGCTGTCTCTCAGCATGGTGTACATGAAGTTCTGCAGCACCTGGGGAACAAGGAGGATGAGGACTCAATGCACAGATGGCACAAAGCCTCGAGCACAAGAAGGAAGGGCACTTACCACATTCACTTTATTGTTCTTGTGCTTGGCGTTTATGTTCTTGACGTCGGTCACGATGTGTGTGTACAGCGTCTGAGGAGACAAAGCCCACACATGAAACAGATGAGCATTTCTCTTCTCGGAGAAACGCACCAACGCATAGGACAACTTTGCTTTTCCTATTTCATTCTATAACAGAAGAAAGCCAAAGGAGGCAAACATTCGGGCTAGAGAGATGGCTCAGCTCTTAAAAGCATTGGTTAATCTTCCAGAGGACCTGGGTTCAATTCCCAGCACCCACATGGCAAGGCAGCTCATAACTGTAACTCCAGTTCCTGGAGATTTGAGACCTTTCACCAATGCACATAAAATAAAGTTATATAAATTTTTTTTTTTAAAAAAAAAAGAAGCAACAAACAATTAACAGCTAAAGGTAAAGCTGCCCTCCAGGGAATATGAGTGGAATTATCAAATGAACGAGTCTACCCTGGAGAAAGGAAAACCCACCCACCCCCTACACGTTCTAAAAACAGTTACAATCCTTTGTTTACAACAGGCAAAAAGGAGAAGCAACCCAAACACCCATTGGATGAACAACGCTGACGAATGGGTAAACATGCGGCAGGGCCATGCAATGGAATATTTAGTAACGAAAAGGACACAACCATACACCACTATGCCATAACTCAATCAAGAAACAACCTACTGAGTATAAGAAGACAGCCACAAAATATATAACATATGATTCCACTTAAGTAAAACACCAGGAACGGGCAAAACTGAAATTTGTTTTATAAGCCTTCAGCTCTTAAGCAAATATACAGGCATAGAAAAATGCTATTGCAACAAAAAGTTTTTATTGTGCAGGTTGGTTCCAGCTAGTGTGTGTGCCCTCATGTCCAGCACAACAAGGTCACGAAGAGACTAGGTTTTGGTACCAAACTGCTTGGGTTCATGGTCTAGCCCTGGACGTATGCTGTAGGAAGTCTTACAGCTTATGGTTACCCACTTAATGGGGCATGACCTCCTATACTATATATGCAGATGCAGAGCCTGTGTCCGCCCCTTCTTCCCCGGCTGCTCTTTCAGATTGCTGGATTCGATCTCTGTTCAAGCAGAGAATTTTGATTTGTGAGTTTACCCCTAAATAAATAACCATCTATTTCTCAATTCTGAGCTAGTGTGGGATTTCTTTTAAGCGTCCTTAAGCGTCCGTTCCACACACGTGGAAGCTGTTTGACCCGAGACAAGTTACTTGCTGTGCTTCAACCTGTCTCTGTCTGTGAAGCATTAACAATGAAGATTTCTAGCTCAGGTTTTTGTGACTAAGCGTATACCTGAAGCCTGAGATGAAGGGCTAGTCCAGAGCGGCATTCAGCAAGTGCTGGTTATCAGTACTAAACTGCATGTATGACGTTTGCTCCTGCTGAAGGACCAGCTGTATCTGTCACCCTATCAAGTCAACAATTCCGCAACTCTGAACTCGGCTATGTCAGCTCAGGAAGAGAGGAACGCAGGGAACAAACCCGCTCCTTACCTTCCGCAGGAGCTTGTCGTGGCAGCGCAGAAGCTCGAAGAAGAGCTCCAGCAAACTTGATGGATTGATGAGATTTTTATTTCTCAGCAAGATCAACGCTTTGCAAAATGTCTAGGGGAGGAAAAGAAAACACTAAGCTGAGGGTGAAGTTAATCAAACGAGGGAACACAGCGTGCACGTCCCATCTGCTCTCCCCAGGTGCTGCAGAGTTCGCTGGAGGTGCTCTCACTTCGCCATCATCGCATGCACGGGACCTTTGAACTCTCCTACCATGCGGAGATCCGGGTCCAAGACGGTGTGGTTGTAGGAGAGCAGCTCCTTCAGCTCCTGTGGGAAGCTACTGAGATGTTCCGGGTAGCAGTGGGCAATCTGTAAGAAAGCGGGCTCTTGTCAGTGCGGCCTTTCTCCCCCACTTCAGCTGCACATTTAGATGCTCAGGGAGGCAGAAAACTCTCAATCAATGGCTTTCCCTGCATGCTAATTTTTCTACTACTTTCACTGTTCCAGTAGTTTTGGCAAAATGCATGGAGCACACTGAGAACCTGCCTGTGTGACGAATTAAAAAAATTTTTTGATCAATTTTTGTTCTGGTTAGTTCTGTGTTAAAAATTCATCAAAATTCTCTAAACTACCTTAGGAAAAGAGTTACAAAAGGGAAGGCTTTAGAAAAATTTAAGTTTCCACACAAAGGCTGGAAAACACGGATGGGGTGGGGTGGGGTGGGGTGGTGGTCTGTACCTCTCCGTCCATCTCACTGAGAAATCACCTTCTTACCTGCGCCATAAACATCACCAGCTCTGCCAGTTCTTTGCTGGGTTTATTTGGCTGTAACTTGAAAATCTCCATATTGGATTTATAGTGATTATACTGCTGGAGGAACTGTAGGGGGAAAGAGAACAGTTTGTCACAGTCTTTTATACAGAGTAACAAGCTGGCACACACCTTTACCAGTGGTACAGAGAAAAAGACCTAGGTATATGAGAGACAGTGTGAACAGGAGTCAGGAACTCAGATTCTGGCCTTGTTCTGCCATTGACATTACATGACCTGTGTATGAAGGGCACCTGGATCAGCAGGAAGATGCCAGGCCACTAAGTGTGGAGTACACCTGAAGGACATGACACCTTCTAGTCAGTCACCCTCTTAAATACCACGGAAGCTTCATGCTGGAGTCCTAGACAGAGAAGCTAAGAACTAAAGACAGAGCACAAGAGCGCTTATTCTTGCAGAGGGCCTGGTTCACTGCCCAGCACCTACACAATGGTTCACAACCATCACAATTCCAGTCCCATGGGATCAGACGCCCTCTTCAAAGCTCCGAGGGTAACAGGGATGCGTGCACATAGTACATGCAGCCGAGACACTCAACACAGTTTCTTAAAGCTAGAAAAGAAGAAGGGGGAGAGGAAGAAGAAGAATCATCATCGTCACCAAAGACAGGGCTGGAGAAATGGCTTAGTAGTTGGAGTGCAAGCCTGAGGGACCTGAATTCGGACGTCAGCACCCATGCACACCTGTGTGAGGGATGGAGACAGCAGGATCTCTGGGGCGTACCGAATACTAGCTTAGCTCAGAACCAGGGAAAGGATGACACTGGGCAGAATGAGAATCTAGGGAACCCAACATCCTCCCATGGCCCCCACACGAGGCCCATGTGTGCATACGCCAATCCCACCTGACCCCAACCCCAAGACAGAAGGAACAAGAATAAAGCCACAGCTTCCACTTACTAAGTACTTCGTTTGTGCCAGGCTCATGATATACACAGCCTCATCTGACTCAACTAACAAGCCAGTTTACTTACTGCTGGAACTCTTAACTGGAGTCAAGCCTTAGGTCCACACCCTATAGTTATTGTCCACATTTGCTGCTGGGGATGGAACTGAGGGCCCTCGAGTGTGCTAGAGAAGTGTTCCATGCTGAACTACACCCCAGCTTCCCACAGTCCCTATGCTTAACTGTGTGACAAGTACACACACACATTCACATACTGTCTTAGTTATGGTTTCTGCTGCTATGAAGAAACACCATGACCACAGCAACTCTTACAAAGAAAACATTTAACTGAGGTGGCTAGTTTCTGAGGAGCCTGGTGCCACACAGGCAGCTGTGCTGCTGGAGGAGCTAAGAGTCCTCCATCTTGCAGGCAACAAGAAGTTGATGGAGACACTGGCAAGTATCCCGAGCACAGGAAAACTCAAAGCCCACCTCCACAGTGACACAGTTCCTCTAACAAGGCCATACCCATTTCAACAAAGCAAATGGCCAATAACTATCTGAAAAAGCGCGCAACATCCTTAGCCATCAGGGGAATGCAAATTAATTAAAATCATCTGAGACTATCTCGCCTCAGTCAGGATGGCTATCAGCAGGGGAAAAAGAGGGACAAAGGCTGGAAGGACGTGGGAAAACAGAAATGTATATATATATATTTATGTGTTACGATATATATGTATGTATATATATAATGATATACATGTACATATAATTAATGGAAATAGAGCCACTATGGAAAAACTAAAAACTGACCTTCCATATTGCTTAGCTATAGCACTCCTGAGTATATAACAAAAGGAATCCAATCAAATACCGCAGATAAACTTGCACATTGGTGTTTACTGGTGTACTACCTACTTCGGCCAAGAAACAGAACTAGCCTAGGTGTTCACCAACAGAAGACTGCGGAATGAAAATTTGGTACACACACTTTTTTTTTCCCCACCCAGGAGCAACAACGAAACCATGACATTGGGAGGAAATCGTTAAGAAAATAAGCCAGACTCAGAGATAGCCCATGTTTCCTCTCATAATTAGAATTTGGATTTAAATTTTCATTTGTGACACATCAGAAAAGGGAATATGGGATGAGATTTTTTTTATGTGTATTGAATGTTTGCCTACATGTATGTATGTCTACACACGTGCCTGGTGTCCAGAGGCCAGAAGAGGATGTAGGATCCCCTTGAAACTGGAGTTACAGATGGTTATGCACCATCATGTAGATGCTGGACACCAAACCTGGGTCCTCTGGAAAAGCAATCAGTGCTCTTGACCACTGAGTCAACTCCCCAGAAGGAAGAGATCCTAAAGGGGTGCAGGGAACTGAGATATATTTGACATCAATACAAAAGCAAGGGTTGTTTGGGGAGAGGAAGGGGACCGGGAGGATTGGGAAGGGCAGCATAGAAGGAGGGATACATAAGAACAAAACACAGCACGTATGTATAAAGTGTTGAAATGAAACCCACCACTCTGCAAGCTCACAAAATTAATAAGGGAAAAAGAGCTGCAGGGACTCTTAATTCACTCGGCTGTGAATGACAGGACACGGGCCATTGGAAAGCCGTGCCTGTTGCCACTTTTGTTGTTCGGTACTCTGTTTTGGCAAAAACAATCGCATCAGTATTCACAGGGAAAGATACACATATTTGGAGAAGAACCACCAAAAGAAGAGCTGGGTTTATCTACTCAAAATAAAAGCGCAGTGTCGAAGGAACCTAATGGCAGCCGGCTGAGATGAGGGTTTAATGCTTCCGAGACAAATGCGTGTCTGAAGCGTCTACCAGGTTAACAGCACAAGGTTACCCCTTTCATTTCGTCTCTTCTCAGTTCACACACTTGAAGTGCTAAGTCCCTCACAGCGTGGGCCTAATGTCACTTCCGATCTCATCTTTTCCCAAAGCATCTTCTCAACTCTAGCTGGCTCCCTCCCAGTGAGTTTCAACCCTAGCTTAACTGCACCTTCTAAGTATCTGACGGCGGCCCAGGCATCTGAAACTCTCTGCTCTTCCTGGCAGAGCCTGGGGCACTCGGGAGCGGCCGTCTGTGGACAGCACCTTTAAATTAAACACGACTCATCAAATCTCAGGGACTAAGGCAGAGTGTCTGGGGCGCAGCCTCTTCGGCCCTCGGGACCTCGGCGGGGCGGCTACATAAACCCGGAGGCAACAGGTCTTAACGAGTATTTCAGTGGCAGTGGGGTCCGCAGGGCGGCAGGTTTGCAAGCGGTGGGAAACGAGTCCCCGGGAACGTTCCCTCCCCACACCCCGCTCTCCTCCCGAGGGCCCTGGAAACCTCCGGGAGGACCCTAGGGAGCCGGATCCCCGTCCCACCTCCTCGATGTAGGCCGGCGGGTCCCGCTTGATCAGGTTCTGTAACTGCGGCAGGTTGCTGGGCAGCTTGTTGTTGTTCCTGCCCGACATAGTGGCTGCAGACGGGCTCCAGGCAAGCAGCTGGTGGAAATCGCAGGCTCCGCCAGTCACTGCCGAGTCCCCGCGGCAGCTCAGACGCGTGTGTCCCGTGTAACCGGAAGTAGCACGTGGGACACCGGGCAAGCCGTACCGAGCTACGGGAGCCGCAGAGGCTCAAACTTATCCGCCCGGCTTGCAATGCTTTGTTGGGATCTGTACGTTATTGGCCCCTGCCATTGGGCCATCGCTACTACTTATCACCAAATATTTCTGACACAATCTGCAAGTTAAAACTGGGCCGTGGTGGCACACGCCTTTAATCCCAGCACTCGGGAGGCAGAGGCAGCCGGATCTCTGTGAGTTCGAGACCAGCGTGGTCTACAGAGCTAGTTCCAGGACAGGCTCCAATGCCACAGAGAAACCCTGTCTCGAAAAACCAAAAAAAAAAAAAAAAAAAAAAAAAAAACAAAACCCAAAACTGTGGGTTTTTCTTCCATATGCAAGAGCAGGTTTCATTATCTCAACATTCTTTTTCATTGAAAATAATTTTTATACAATATATTTGATCACGCTTTTCACTCCTCCAATCCCTCCCATCTTGCCCCGCATTTTTAGGATGGCACAAATGAATGAGAATTAATAATGTACCCAAGTATGGCGGCACATGGTTGTAATTCCTCAGGAGGCTGAGGCAGGAGAATTAAGTGTTTGGGGCAAACCTGGGCTGAGGTTCCCTGTCTCCAGGAAAACAACAGAAATTAAACAGGGTCTTGAGGACTGGCTCAGGTGGCCTCTCATAAGAGATCGTAGGTTTGTTTCCCCAGCTGGGTGTATTGGCTCATGCCTGCAATCCGCATATTTACAATCCGCATATTTACGAAGTGGAGACAGGAGAGTTGAGACTTCGCGGTCATCCTCAACTACATGTGGAATTTGAGGGAACCCTGGGATGCCTGAGACCCTGTATTTATTGCCAAATAGGATCGGGGCTAGAGAGATGACTTAGCAACTACAACCCAATACTGTTGTTACAGAGGACCCACGTTTCGGTTTGCTATAACTACTACTCCAGTGAAACATGAGACTCCAGCAGGCACCTGCACTGACCGTGTGCTTAGCCACACACAAATGCATCAACATAGTTAAAACAAACAAAATCTTTCTAGAAATGAGACTGAAGTCAGGTGTGGTGGCACCCTCCTTTTGTTGGACTCTAGCGTCCAAACACCAAGAAGGAGTTGCCCCCAGAGACCATCTCACACACCACAGCCGATGCAAAAGCATGAGGATTTTATTAATTCTGTCATGACAGGGTCCCCCAGCATTCGGGAAGCCGAGGGACCTCGAATAGCTGGTACAGTCTACTTTTAAAGGGGCCACAGAAGCAAGGGGGGTTGTTCTTTGACTATTCTGATTGGCTTATTCGAAAGGGCTATTACCAATAATTGACTGGAGAGCTGTTGCCAGATCAGATGAGGTAAGAGGTCATTTTGACCCCGTTTCCCAGGGGACCAAACCAAAGCATACGTATATGGGTAATTGTTCAGGAACTGAGTACGTGCGAGTGTAGCTGTTAGGTCCTTGGTTCCCAGGGGAGGAGGGGAAGCACTATGGCACAGAGGCTGAGAGGATTCAGAATTGTCAAAAATGGCTTCAAGATTGTCTTAAAGTCTTACACTTTAATCCCAGCACTCAGGAAGCAGGCAGGCAGATGTCTATGAGTTCGAGGCCAACCTGGTCTACAGAGCAAGTTCCAGGACAGCCAGGACTTTAACACAGAGAAATCCTGTCTTAAACTACCCATCCCCAAAAAGAAGAAGAAGAAAAAGAAATGAGGATTGATTTTTCTTTAGAATTTACTGTTGTGGAATATTTAAGTGGGCAAAGATGTGTTACATTTGTTTATCTGTGGAATATTACTTTAACTGTGTGAAGGTGTGTTACATTTGTTTATCTGTGGAATATTACTTTAACTGTGTGAAGGTGTGTTACATTTGTTTATCTGTGGAATATTACTTTAACTATGTAAAGATGTGTTACATTTGTTTATCTGTGGAGTATTACTTTAACTGTGGGAAGGTGTGTTACATTTGTTTATCTGTGGAATATTACTTTAACTGTGTGACGGTGTGTTATGTTTGTTTATGCTGCATTTATTTCACGATGTAAGGACGTGTGTTTAATTATGTAAAGATGTGTTGAATTTGTTTCACCTTGCCTGCCTAAAGCACCTGATCGGTCTAATAAAGAGCTGAACAGCCAATAGCTGGGCAGGAGAGAGGATAGGCAGGGCTGGCAGGCAGAGAGAATAAATAGGAGAACTCTAGACTAGGGAGAAGAACGAGAGAAGAGAGAACAAGGGAGATGCCCAGGGTCAGAAGCCAGGCAGCCGCCAACCATTCAGCAAGAAAGCCAAAAAAGGTAAAATGCCCCAAAGCAAAGCATAAATAAGAGAAACAAGTTAATTTAAGTTAAAAGAGCTAGCCAGAAATGTACCTAAGTTAGGCCAAGCATTCAAAACTAATAAGTGTCTCTATCATGAACTGAGAGCTGGTGGGTGGCTCTCACCAAAAGAAAAAGCCTGATACAGTGTACTAAAGTGAGAAGAAAATTCCATGAGGAATATGCCTAGAAAATATTTTTTTTGGCTGTTCTCCAACTTTATTTGAGATTCAGTAGGTTAGTTCTCATCCACATTGACTGTCTGTAGATTTTTGAATGTGGTAACAGGCACGTAAGTTACCAATGTGTAGAGTTTGTTTGGTGAGTCCTCATCCTCATTACGTTTTCTGGATAAACGTACCCGGATACGATATGGGACATTCCTTATTCCTTTGGCCCAGACGGCTTTATTGAGCCTGGTATCAATCTGCACATCTGGAGTCCCCATCTCCTTCATGGCAAATTTCCAGATTTCTTTGAGTGCCCTAGGAGCATGCTTCTTAAAGCCCACGCCATGGATGCGCTTGTGAATGTTGATGGTGTATTCTCGGGTCACCACCTCGTTGATGGCAGAACGGCCCTTCTTCTCGCCACCCTTCTTTGCGGGAGCCATTCTGTCGGGCCCAAGCTGGAAAGCAGAAAATACTGTTTTAGAGAATGGCTAGAGAGCCAGGGGTGGAGGTTAAATCGGTTTTTGCTTTGTTATTGCTGTTTTTTCAAGACCGGGTTTCTCTGTGTAGCCCTGGCTATCCTGTAACTTGCTCTGTAGACCAGGCTGGCCTTGAACTCAGAACTACCTGCTTTTGCCTCCTGAGTACTGGGACTAAGGGTGTGCACCACCATATATTTGTTTTCCTTTTGGGTTTGGCTGATTTAATTCATTGTGGTTTGGATGGAGTGCAAACTAGTATGTATTCAGAATTTGACCGCTGTAGCGCTTCTGTGGATGCCCCTAAGCTAGAGTTTTAAGTTCAGAGCTGGTGCTTGGCGACATTCCTGCAACCCCGCAATGTGCATCAGCGAACACAAGTTGGCTAGCTGGACGAACGAATGAAATAACGGTAGTGTTCGTACAGAAACACACGATCATCCACCCTGCGCCTGTACTGTTCAAGCGCTTCTCGTAAATGAATCCCTTCAATCCTCAGAGCATTCCTCTGGAAAGGTGAGAAACATCCTAAGAGGGTGACTGCCCAAGTTCACCAATGTCAAGGAAGCTGGGACTCAATCTAGGCGACTATTAATTCCAGCCACTGTGTGTGTGTGTGTGTGTGTGTGTGTGTGTGTGTGTGTGTGTGTGTGTGTAGGGGTAGCAGCTGCTGGATGGAACTGGTCTGACACTAACATAAGAATCACAGTGTTGTTATTCTGTTTAACCTAAGCATTTCCCCAGACCAGCTTCACCCAAGGACACCTGCCACTCTTTGAGTCCAAATCTAAACAAGTCTGTTATCCCACCTGACACAGTCCTGAGGCTAATTAGATGGAGAGCTCTCACGAAGGGGTTCATGCTCCAAGGAGAAATCGTCCTCCCTCATCTCTTCCATGGTGATGTCGGAGAGCAGGGTCTCCCAGCGCAGCATGGAAACTGACGGCAAAGCCATACAGTGTGAACGAGGCAGGAAGGCTCACTAGTACAGTGGGACCTCAGCCCTTGAGCAGAAGGAAGCGGACACTGATTAAAATGACTGCTGGCTTAGCAGAGGGCTTTATTTGACTGTGTGTGTGTGTGGGGGGGGGTGCTAAACCTTGGTAACTGTCCATTGTTCCTGGGCACAGTTTCAAAGGACTTTTCCTTTCGAGTGCAAGTATTCTAACCTAGATGTTTGCAGCCTGGTGGCTGATGATTTAGCCAGAAATGAAGTTACACGTTGTTATGTTTGTTTGTTTGTTTGTGTGTATTGGTGTTTTGTCTACCTGTTGGTCTGTGTACTATGTGCATGCTTGGTGCCCATGGAGGCCCGAAGACAGTTTCAGATCCCTTAGATGTTTTTGAGACAACATGGGGCGGGGGGTGCTAAGCCTCTAAAAGAGCAGCAAGTGCTCTTAACCACTGAACGATCTCTGCAACCCAGAGAATTATCATCTTTAACGAATGTCCCAGGCCTTGTCATGAGTCTGAGGAACTGCGGGTGCTCCAGCTCCCTGGAAACACGAAGGTAGGGTGGCGTCCAGCACGGCTCCAGGGCTGACCTGCCTGGGGCTGGGAAGGAAGGAAGAAAAGACAAACGTACAGATACATGGGAGAGCTGGGATTGCGTGGACTGGGCTCTCTGATGGAGAAGCTGCAGCAGCCCGGAAGCTCAGATGAACAGGGAAGGCAGCGCTGCTGCCGGCAGCAGGAGGGAAAGAGGTGTAGCTATTCTGTGAAGGCGTTTTCTCTATAGGAGAGCACTGTTGGGGCTGTAAGCCTAGGCCGTGGGGTGAAAGAAAGCGATGGTGGATTTTTTTTCTATACGCACTATCAACATTTGCATTCAGACCAGGAGGGAAGGCTCTGCTGTTTCCCTGAGACTGAGGAATTGGGGTCCTTGGCATGGCTGTGCTTAGGTCAACTGTACACAGTCAGGAAGGACTGCATCCGCTTAGGGCTTCCTCTGCTCCCCACAGAACCTGGTAGAGGAAACACATCAGCTCTAGCAGCTGATAGGCCTATGCGTAGTCTTGGACAAATATTTGAAAACGGGACAAGGGTTAAGACAGCAAAGGTGACAGACACGACAGGAAGACAGAAATACCAAGCTTTTGCAGCTGTCTACGAGGTACCCATGGCTTCACCAGAGAGTCTGTGTTTAAGGAAAAGTGGCCTTCAGGTTTCTGCAAGGCAACCAAGACAACAGTAACCCATGCCTGTCGGAGGTGTTTTCACAGCCGGTGAAACAGTGCCCAGCAAAGGAGGCTTGCTCAGCTAGTGACCTTGCTTTCCGGGTGAATTATGTAAAAATGCCGTGATTCTGTTCTGACAACTGTTGATTCTGGGGCCTTAGGCAGGGCATTTTATGGGAATTTCCCATGGAATCATTTCCTTCGTTTTTGTCATTGTGTAACCATCCCAGACCCCACTAGCTCTAGCTGGGCTCAGCCATAGAGATTTTCTAGTATGTAAACATTTTGCTTCGTGGCCTCCTTCCCTGTTTTATGGCAAAGCTGTTGCTTGAGCACAAGAACAGAGCACACTCTCAGTGGTGACAGGGTCAGGGCCATTTCCCTTGGCCATTTGTCCTCTTCCATGCTCCCTGCCCGTTTTACTGTAAGAATACAGAAAGACAGCTGCCTATAAATCAAGAGGAGGGCCCTCCCTGGACTCCAGGTCTGTGGGTGCATTGATTTGATGCTCTCCTCTCAAACTGCAAGACATGAATGTTGTAAGTCTCTGAGTCGAACTTGCTACAGTGCACCGAATGGACAAAGCCTTTCAGGCACTGATCACACATGATTTGCACATGCTAGTTCCTCTCATGGAAGCCAGTAAGTCTTGTTCTCCAGATTTCAAATCTCTGCTCAATGACGGCCCATTCGAGATGCCTTCCGTGGTCTTCCATGGTCCTCCATCCTCCCGGCCCAGCGCACTCTTCCTCTGTTTCGTGTCTCTGGGGCCTCCTCCAGTCCCTCAGATAGTCACTAGCTCCGTTGTTTGTTGCATATGGATCTGCGATAGATTGGAAGATTCATGGAGACTTTGGGGTTTGTTTATTACTGTACCCCCAATACTTAGATCAGGGAAGGGATATACCGCGTAGGGACCAGCCCAGTTAGTTAATATTTATGAGATGAACAGGAGGTTGGCTAAGTTTCTTCCAATTCTTCAATTGTAAGATTAAAGCAATATTTTAATTTTTGAGGCTTTCCTACAATGTGTTTGATAATATTTGCCCTTCCCAGACCCACTCCCCTTTCTCTATATATATCTTTCTTTCTCTCCTTCCCTTTTTCTTTCCCTCCCTCTCTTCTCCTCCTCTTTTCTCCCCCTCTCTCCTCCCTCCTCCCTCTCTCCCCCTCCCTCTTCTCCCTCCCTCTCTCCCACCACCAAGTCCAGCTTATGATGTTTATGCATTTCTGCACATGTGGCCTTGCACTGGAGCATGGTGAACTTCGTAAGGCACTACTTCCTTAAAGAAACTGACTCTTCATTCAGGAGCTGTCAAGTACCAGTAATTCCTCAGCCAGTATCTCAAGAACGGGGGCTGGAGAGATGTCGTGCCACAGCCGAAAGCACTTGCTACTCTCGCAGAGGAGAGGTTCAGCTCCCAACAACTTCATGGTGACTCACAACCACATGCAACTCCAGTTCCAGGGGATTTGCTGCTCTATTCTGACCTTGGGCATCAGGCATGAATATGGTACACATACATTTCTGCAGGGAAATGTTCATATGTATAAAATAAATACATCTAAAAAAGAGAAAAAACATTTAAAATCATCTCAGAGGGGTCAGCAGGAATTTTCATTACTCTCATTTGAAACCTACATTGAGGGGCCTGGAGAGAGAGCTCAAAAAAGCAGTGGCTACTCTGGAAGAGGACCCAGGTTCAATTCCTAGCAACCACAGGTCTGCTCACAATTCTAACTCTAGTGCCAGGATTTCTGACACCCCTTCTGCCTTTTGTGTGTGTGTGTGTGTGTGTTTAGATTTTATTTATTATGTATACAGTAGTCTCAGTATTCTGTCTGCATGTATGCCTGCATGCCACAAGAGGGCGCCAGATCTTATTACAGATGATTGTGAGCCACCATGCTGTTGCTGGGAATTGAACTCCGGACCTTTGGAAGAGCAGGCAGTGCTCTTAACCACTGAGCCATCTCTCCAGCCCCATGCGGGTATTCTGCATGTATGCAGTGTACAGGCACAGATGCGAGCAAAATGCCGCACTTTTAAAAGAACGTTCAGAAACGCCAGGTCTGCTTCAGACCTGTTTTAAGACACTGTTAAAGTAGCCACTAGGGGGCGCTCCTGCTCTGTCTTAACAAGAAAACCAGTAGACTTGACTCATTGAAACAGACCTCAGTCTTTTCTAAAGCTGACTTTAGGACCAAAATGGGGTTGCTCTGCTTGGCAGCCTGTACCTGCTCCTGCTGAGTCTACGCACTGGCCGATGGCTTCATTTTTCATTGTTCTTCCCTGTTCCCACTATTTTGCCTATTTATCGTGAATGCTGCCCCAAGGCCCATCTATTTTTTTTTTTCCCGTTCCTGGGAAAAGAGAACTATTGGAGTTGTCTGAGGAGGACAAACCTATAATCCTAGGCTTGTTGTGGACTTGTGTGAGTTTCATTCTTTGATTTTTTTTTCTAAATCACTGATAGTTCCTAAAAAAATAAAATGTTTCTCAAAAAAACAAACAAAAAAACCACTGAATAATTTTGCTTTCTCTGTCTTTTCACTTAAAAGCTCAGAGTAAAAACCTATTTTGTTTCCTCTGTACTTCGTTAATTGTTTCATACTTCATTAATTCATCAAACGCCGTGGCTGAGCCGATAGCTCAGTCCTTAAGCAGCTTGTCTATGAGCATAAGAACCCGAGTTCCTCCCCTAGAATCCACATTCATAGAAAAGAGCTAAAAAAATAAAAAAGAAAAAAGAGCTGCCATTGTGGTGCGTATGGGGGCATGGGAAGGGGGACATGGGAGATGGGACAGGAAGTAGACAGATGGATAGATAGATCTTTGCTGCTCACTGGCCAGACAGTCTGGCCTACTTGACGAGGTCCAGGCAATGAGATGCTCAGAAACAGGTGATCAGTGCTCAAGAAACTACTCCTGAGGCTGTGGTTGGGCCTCCATTTGTATTCATGCACCCAGGAACATGTTCAAACCTCTCTCTCTACACACACACACACACACACACACACACCACATTCAGGAACTAGGCTATGGTGCAGCTCTGTTGCTTGCCTAGCATGCACGAGGCCCTGAATGCCATCCCCAGCCCCACATAAACCAGACACGTGGCACACCTGTGATCTCAGCACTCAGGAGTTCTACGTCAGTCTGGGTTATAAGAGACCCTGTCACAAAAACCCAATAACAAATTGCGCATGTTTAATACACATAAACTGATTAATTCAAACATTCACAGGCCGATTATCCAGCCCCACAGTCAACATGATACACAGCTGTCACCACCAAACATTTCCTAGAACTGTGTGTGTAAGAACAATTAGTCTACCCATCCTCTAAACAAATTTTTAATCAAGTGCCTAGTATAACATTACTGAGGGAAGGCACATGTATACAGCAGATTTTTAGGGCGGTGACATTTTAGTTGACTTTGAAAGATCTTTTAATTCTGAGACTCTCAGTGGGGCCAAGTGTGGCAGTGCACACCTTTAATCCCAGCGATCAGGAGGTAGGGACAGGTGGATCTCTGAGTTCAGAACCAGCCTGGTCTGCACAGCGAGTTTCCAGAACAGTCAAGAGGTAATAGACCCTGTCCCCAAATACTACTACTGCATAAAAAATACAGTGGAGAAGCAATTGAGGAAGACCTCTGAATTAACCTCTGACCTCTCTACAAGCTGCATCACCCGGCCCTGCACAAACGTGCACACATCCTAACTCACCCGTACACATCTGCACAAAGTCTCAGTGAACCTGACAGCTTCCTTGCTCTTGGATGCCCTTC